AGACACCTATACCCCTTGATAGTTCGCAAATAGAGAGATTACTTCAATAAGGTTAGTTTGTTTCTAATCCTCTGATTGTCTCTATGTTACCGATTATTCATCACTGAAATGGGCACTTGCCTTTTACCTTTCGATGTGATACATATATGTATTCTTCATCAGTAATCTTTTAAACTTGAAGCATAATTCTTCGTGGTAATTATACTGCTTCTGTTATCCATTACGCACGTGTTCAATTCAATTTTCATAATAGGAATTCGACTGGCCCTTGGAGAGCGTTTTACACCTGAGGAAGATCAGAGAATTAGGAAAAATTGGCGTTCGTTTGCTCGCCAGTACGGGTTTATCTATGAGGATGCGCGTTTTTATGCTGGTTTCGTTCAAACTTCGGAAGCTTTAAGTTATCTTTTCTCTGTGATATATCTTTTCCTAGCTCATCTGGAACTGTTGCAGGTTAAGCTGCAACGAAAACAAAACAACATTCTCACAAGGCTGGGAATGTGGCCGCGAATATGTAAGTCCTTCTTCTTTTTAGCTGACGCCATAGTATAGAAAAATTTGTTTCCAAATCGTAAGCTAGAGCACAGAAGTGCTTGTCAGGTTCAAGGAAGAATTCGAGTTATTTTTGATCCTCATTATACTGGATATCCCACTCCACTCTTGTTGGATACTTTGATACGCGCTAATGAGTAACATTTGCATAGGTTCTAGTGTACATAACGGTATTTCAACCACAGATTTCAGAATAAAGTTGGAAGGCAAGTCCAGATGTGAGATAGCGTTGTCGCTTGGTATCTCGGTGAATCGTCTGCAGAGCACTATGAATTATTACACATCTTGAAAGGAATCACCTTGACATTGAGGCTTGTTTTTTTTCTCGAATTTCTTCTGTTGTTGACTGAAGAGCAAATCAAAATGCGCAATAGCTTTTCTTAAATGTCCATTTCTGTCACTGATTGCAGGAAGTAGCCAAAAACCCAAGTATGCTCTCTGAAAATCAGCTAAATACTGAAAGATACAGGCTGCTGTTTGGTAAGACAGTCTTCTTCCAGTTTCGTTTCTTCCCATGTTTTTTTTTGTAAAAACTGTTCTGAAAAAATCGTCTCTATCTCATGCGAAAGTTGCTGAGTTATTGCAAACTTCGCCGGAACAGTTGCAGTTGCTTTTGAAAGACTTCAATTGGACTGTTCTGATTCCTGCATTCCCTCCTTTGAATGAGGAAGGAATAGAAAGAACCTGGTAATTGGTCGTTTCCATTCATCACTCGGAGTTTGTGTTGCTTGAGACTTTTTGTCTTAGCGTGATTAATCATTGTGTTCTCAAGAGCCTTTTTTTACCACGACTTTGTGAGTTCTGTGACATCGCAGGCTTATTAAACGCTTTTTTTGTCAAGTGCTGTGGTCAATCGATTTCTTCAGGCAAACCATTATCCAAGAGCTCAGCAGTTCTTTCTCTAACCATCTTGACATCCTTGACGAATGTCAAGCCTGGAATGCTGCAATGGACGAGGTGTGTAATTATCCCCATTCTTTCTGATCTAGTCCATCGAAACTATCTCAAGTTGTTTCATTTATTTATCTTGCTAGGTTATGCCTTGTGTTCGGTTTTCGTTGCATGATTTGATCTACTACACGAAATCGCTGCGAGAATGCATTGATAAGAAGACGCAAATAATTCATTCTCGATACATAGATAAGGCTAGGCTGGAAAGAAGGTCCGTTTAGACTCCTGACTCCTGTCTCTTCTGGATGTATTTACGTTACAGGTTGTCTGCGAAAGGAATTGTTGATCAGGACACCTTTGACTTGAATAGGTGTGCTATTTATAAGAGAATAAAACGTGTGCTTTGGTCGAAAGACTCCACAGTGTTCCGACACTTGTGTTTCCCTCTGAATGCTCGAGGTGAATCTCGTTTTGTATTCTTTCTTCTAGTCTACATTACATTGACAAGTTGCCTTTCCAACTTGTGAGTAGGATCACTGCGCAGTAGCACGATGAATATACAGATTTTTTTGTACTAGATTTTGCGTTGATCCTCTTCATGCCCTCTTGCAATCTTAGAACGCGGTACAGTGATCGTTTGAAACATAATCAATAATAGCCCATTGCCCATCATTGTAACGTTATCTTTCGTTTCTTTCGTATAAGCATCCAGGAATTCAGAGCGATTTTCTTCAGAAAAGCTACAACTTCTCGAGGCCTGTTACCGTCGCTTGCGAACGCATATTGACGGCAATGAGCTTATGACATCTCTACCAAGAGTAAGCATGCAGCTCTTTGTGGAATGTATGATTGAGAGGATGCAAAAAATAGATTTTTCTTGGCAACCGCCGAGTCTTTTTCAACGATGGGTCAGCCTAGCTTTATCGATCGCCAGTTACTGCCGCTAGAGAGGTTTCCAATTTCAGATCCGTACATGGCAT